GGGATAAAAGGAACGATCGACGATAGAAATTCCTTTCGTTTACGATTTTCATATCGGAAAATAGGGAAGTAGTAACGATTGACTCCTCCTCGACGTTTCGTACGATACAAAGAAAAACGAAAGTGTTTTACGAACGGATATATGTGTCTATCCTTCGGCGTCTTTCGCTCGAGCAAAAGCAAAATAGTAACCCAAGGTCATAGTTTCGCAAGACGATGGAACGTAACGAAAATACGTGTTGGTTAAATTCTTTTTAAACTGCGAATGACGATATATAATAATAATAATAATAATAATGTGCGAAGATGCACGTCGCGGACGAATAGTAACATTCCTTTTTATTCTACCTCTCTTATTTTGAAAAGAATTAATTTTTTTTCCTCCAAGAGAGAGAAATAAAAAAAAAGAAAAGAGAAATAAAGCAAATCGAACGAATCGTTAAAAGAAATCATCGTGAATTGGCACTATTGTAAAAACTGATAAGGATTTATCGATATGAAAATAAAACAAAACATATCCAAATGTATATGAAAACACATAAAGAAAGAAAGAAAGAAAAGAAAAATATAAAGAGAGACTAATAAATTATATCGCACAAATTTTAAATAATTAGATAGCATTATAAGTATGTATATATGTATGTATGTATGTATGTATGTATGTATATTGATCGTGAGATCGGCGCGATTCTTCGATTAAACGTCGAAGGACACGAATCTGCATCCGTGAGTCTCATTATCATTATCGCTTTAGATCTAGAGATACATTCGGGCGCGTCAACGAAGAAGAAAAGATAAACACCTTGCACTGTGTTGACACAGATGCATCAGAATTATAAGTGACATTAAAAGATACCCGTTTATAGATTACGAGGCCGATAATTTAACGAGTGGCAAGAGGAGGAAGGAAGTCAAGCGGACGGCTAGCGGACGGCCGACGGCGCAAAAAAATATCGCGCCTCGTCCTTACTAATAGCTGCTATGGCTGACTAATTGAATGACGTGCGCGAGCAACGTTGTCGTTTTCTCTCTCTTTCTCTCTTTCTCTCTCTATTTCTCTCTTTCTCTTTCTCCGTTACCGTCTCTGTCTTTTAGCGCATCCCATTATACGAATAGGAGTATCTGAAATTTCGATGATCCCTTCGATCGATTTTCTTTTCTAATTCGTTAGAAAAAGAAAAAGAAAAGAAGATTCATTTGCTAGAAACGAAGCAAAACAAGAAACAACTTTCGTATCTGTTGGAAGGCGTTAGAGTCACGGTCATGTAAGGAGAGTGTCGGGTGAGGTAAAAGAAAGGATAAGAAATATTGAAAGAAAGAAAGAAAGAGAGAAAGAGGACTCGCGTTTCGCGGGCGCCGCAACGACAGAAAAATCGGCGCGGCTAGCTTCGGCGCAGCTAACTGTACATAAGTTTGGCTATGCACGGGCTAAACGTCGAGAGGGGCAGAAGGGAAGGGTAGAGTGGGTGGGGACGAGGAAGAAGGGTGCCGAGCAGGCGGAGGGAAGGAGGAGAATGTTTAAAAGAGAAAGAGAAAGAAAAAGAGAGAAAAAATGAGAGAAAAAAAGAGAGAGAGAGAAGGAGAGAGATAGATAGATAGAGTCAAACGAAACTACCGAGCAGGAGAGGAGAGATGGCAGGTGGGGAGACGCAGGAGGATGGACGTTTGAAGGAAGGAAGGAAGGAAGGGAGGAGAAAGAGAGAAAGGGAGATAGAGCAAAGTACGCGGCGCGCGCGCGTCCGTTGTAGAATAAGAGGAAAGAAGGAAGAGGAATGAGAAATTAGAGAGAGAAAGAGAGAGATAGGGTTGCGCCGGTGGTGGTAGCGATGGTGGGGCCAAAGAATTGGCGAGGACCAGGCAGGCAGGCAGACAAGCAAGCAAGCAAGCAGGCAGGCAAGCAAGCAAGCAAGCAAGCAAGCAGGCAGAACAGGCAAGCACAGGCAGAACAGGCAAGCAAAGCAGGCCCGAAGCGGTGGTGGTGGCGGTGGCGGTGTACGGAGGGGTGAAGCCGCCCCTCTCGCGAGTAGTAGACTCGAGAGGGGGGACTTAGCCCCACTACTCTTTTGCGCGAGGTTCCTATGAATTTTGCGACACTCGATAAAAAGTGGTTCCACGAGGTTAACATTTCGGTAACTATACCCTCGCGCGTTGCTCACGCACGCACTCTCCGGCACGCATACACGTTTGCGCGCACGCCCTGCTGCTGCTCCTACCACCACACGCTACCACTATTATTATTATTATTATTACTACTACTACTACTACTACTACTACTACTACTACTACTACTCTACTACTACTACTACTACTACTACTACTACTACTCTACTACTACACTACTACTATTATTACTATTACCATTGCTATTGCTACTAGTACTACTACTACTACTACTCCACGACTAATACTATTATAAAGCTACTGTGCGAAAAAGGGAGAAAGAAGAGCAAAGGACCGTCGTACGCGCGTGTACATACGTGCATCCATCATCCACGTGTGCATGTTCGGTTAAAGGAGAGCGATATAAGAACGAAAGAGAGAATAAGAGAGTACAAGAGAAAGAGAAAGAGAGAAATTTTGCCGTGCGGTAGAAAGAGGCACAGACATAGACACACACACACACACATACACTCATAAGTGATCGAAGAGAGCGAGAGAGGGACAGGAAGAGTGAGAAGAAGAAAAAAGGGGGAGAAAGAGAGAGAAAGAAAGCGAGCCGAGAGGGCGGCGAGGAGAAGAGGGATTCAGGGTGGTTGGTGGTGAGAAGGAGGAGGAAGAGGAGGTGGTGGAGGAGGAGGAGGTTGAGAAGTAGGAGGAGGAGGAAGAGGGGAACGGTCGGGAGGAAAAGAGTGAGAGAAAAAGAGAGGGAGAAAGATAGGCGCGCACGTACACGCTGGCTTCACGCGTACATGCACGCGCGCACGCACGCACACCACGAGGTTGCCGAAAAAACTGCACGGGAGAGGCGCAGCAACGGGCAAACCGAACCGCGCGCGAATCAAGTGCTTTGGCCAGTCGCGTTCCCAATCACTCTACGACTAGGTAGTCCCCCGGTGTGTGTCCCAAAGGCGACAGCAGCTGGTCCCTCCTCGCTCTCTCGTCGGTGGTGTCATCTCGCAAAGATAGAACCACCAACTGCTTACAACTAGAGCCGGTCCTAGCTAACCGGCCCTCTCGTTTGCGCGTCGTGCTCGTATTCCCGCGTGTACCGCGGAAATTCAACGAAGAATACCAGGAACCAAGAATAAGAAGACTGAAACGGGATAGAACAAGAAATAAAGAGAAGAAACACAACAGAGATACGGGGATCGAAGAAATTATAAATAATATTATTTGATCGTTTTGTCACACATTTGATCTCGATTAAGTTTTATTTACGTTAGTTATTCTAATATCGTGGTTCACACGTTCGCGAGAGTTTAGAGAAAAGAGTGCTGAAGGATACCGCGTGTTGTACCGTCAGCCGCCAATCAGTAAACCAACCAAACCGTCTTCGTCGTCGTCGTCGTCACCGTCCTTGCGTTCCGTCACGTTCCGTCATACGGATCCTCTAACAAAGAAACAAGAAAGAAAAAGAAGAAGAAGAAGAAGAAGATAAAAAAAGAGAGTATCGTTGTTCTTCGTACGGAAGGAACATCCTCTTTCCCGCGTACGTTCCTTCCGTGTACGCGCGGTGTGCGTTACGTTCGCATGTAGTACACGAGGTCGGTGTTTCTCTCTCTCTCTCTCTCTCTCTCTCTCTCTCTCTTTCTCTCTCTCGCGCGCTCTCGCGTCTTTCATCGTCCCTTTAAACGATACAACAAGTAATCTTCCGGAGGGTGGACTAGAAGGAAGGAAGGAAGGAAGGAAGGAATTTTCGAGGATAGAAAAAACTGCACAAGGAAATAAGAAGAAAAAGAAGAAGAAGAAGAGAAATAAAAATAACGTGTCGCGTTAACGAGTGATAAGGGAAAACAAGAAAAAGGAAAAGAGAAAGGTAAGAAAATAAAATAAAATAAAATAAGAAAAAAAAAAAAAAAACAGAAGAAAAAGAAAGAAAAGAAAAAAGAAGATACATACAGGAAAAAGAGAGAGTGGGTGAAAAGAGTGTGTAATAACGTCATCGTGGTACGAGGAAACGGGATAACCGGGACGGAATTCTCGTTAATCTCGTGGTGAAAAAGTTAAACCGTCCACCGTTTTGTCACGAGGATGGACGTACGTTCGGCCTCGAGAATATCCTCGGGACCGTACAAGAGCGCGAATCGCGGCTACGTGGCATAGAAAAGCGCCCGTCAAAATACGCTCTGTCCTCGCGTTGTAGTCGAAAAGAGCCGGGCCGGAGGAGGGGGAGGAGGAGGAGGAGGAGGAAGGAGGAGGAGGCGGCGGCAGTGGAGGAGGCGGCGGCGGTGGAGGAGGAGGAGGAGGAGGACGAGGAGGAGGCGGCGGTGGAGGAGGAGGACGAGGAAGAAGAGGAAAAAGAAAAAGAAGAAGAAGAAAAAGAATAAAAAGAGGAGACGAAGAAGACGAGGAAACGCCGTGGTATCGTCGTGCATCGTCGTCGTCGTCGTCGAACGACGGTCGAACGACGATTTCAGCGGCGTCGTCGCCGAGGAGGTGAAAAAGAAGAGAATAAGAAGGAAGAAGAAGAAGAAGAAGAAGAGGACGAAGAAGAAGAAGAAGAGGAACAAGGACACACCGGGCTGTGCTAGAAGCAGCCACGCACTTTGCTTCGCGTTTGACGATCAAGGTACGTGTTCGTGGCCGGCCGCGAGAGAGTGCCGCTGGCCTTCGCTCCTTTGCACATCGACTTTACGAGAGAATACGAGAGCGAGAGATCGACGTGCGCGCGCGCGAGCACGACAATTTTCTCTCTCTCTCTCTCTCTTTCTCTCTCTCTCTCTTTCTTTTTCTCTTTCTCTTTCTTCTTTTCTTTCTTTTTTTCTGTCTCTATCTATATTTCTTCTTTTCTTTCTCTCTCTCTCTCTCTCTCTCTCTGTCTTATTTTCTTTCATCACTCACATGCTCCGAATGAAAGAGAGGAATCGTCGAATCGTACCGAGTGGTGATGTAGCAGCAGCCGGTGACGAATGCACGAGAGCTTACGCGCCGCGAGAGCTTACGAATGACGTGCATGTGCTCTCTTCTGATACGTGTGCATGCGCGTACACCCTCTTTCCCTCTCTACCTCGCACTCTCTTCTCAAGGTGCAGCAAGTTCACGTGCAACGCTTATGTTACAGAAGGTACTCGCGCGTCCGTTAGTTTCTCTTACGCGCTTATTCGTTCTCTATCTATCTCTCTCTCTCTCTTTCTCTTTCTTTAGTACTCTCGTCGTTCACGGTCTTTATATCTATCTCCTTTTCTCCTTCTCTTTTCATCGCACGAAAATACTGGTTTTCTTTGTCTATTGTATACCACGTACGTTAGAAGTGTCGAGACCTTTAGTGGCTAGACGAGCGCTAGACGAGCGCTAGACGAAAGCAATACCAGACGTTAGACAGATTGGGAAATGACGTAATCCGTCTGTGAAAGGCACGATCCTTTTGTCGCTTATTCGCGAACCACCGTGTACTCTTTTCTCACTCTCTCTCTCTCTCTCTCTCTCTCTCTCTCTCTCTCTCTCTCTCTCTCTCTCTCTCTCTCTCTCTCTCTCGTTCTCTCATTCTTTCTCTGTTTCTCGCCAACACGTTGTTTGCTTCCTATCCCCACCACCATCTAATTCTGGGACACAGACGGATTCCTTTTCTTCCTTTTCTTCCTTTCGACTCGCGTGACGTAAAGTCGAGACGGCGATAGTATGAGGAAAGCGTGAGAGAGAGAGAGAGATAGAGAGAGAGAGAGAGAGAGAGAGAGAGAGAGAAATAAAAAAAAGAAAATGACTTTGCAGCGGAACAGCTTCCAGCGCGCGAGGATTCAAAAATCACCCGTCCTTGCCCCCGTTTCTAGATAAACGAAGAAACATCACATAATCACAACACGTCAAGGCAAGGTGGTGTATACCTCTACTTAATAGTATTGGTAGAAAATTAACTATCATTGCATACATTTTATACGCATAATTTTTATTCTTAAAGATTTTTGTTCTCGCGAATATATAATAAAAACAGAGTACCGGTTGTTCGCTGATTATGGTGATGACGATGATGCCGAAGGAAAAGAAAGGAATAAGAATAAAAAATAGAACGAAAACTTGTTCGAAAAAGATGTCACGGGTTTTGTCGAAGTTTTAATATACTTTAAAAGGAATAAAGAGAAACGTAGAAAAGCAAATAATATATATATATATAAACTGTTCTCTCTTAATTTGCTTCGCGAATTTTATCGTCAGACGATATCATTTAAACGGGTAGAGAAAAAGACAGAAGGATAGAGAGAGAGGTGGCGAGGGAGGAGGGGCGAGGGGAGAGAATGAATAAAAAAAGAAACGGAGCGCAATGTCGCTTGGTCTCTGCAAACAGGCCGCGATCCGTTTAACGAGGGCTCTTCTCGTGCAACCTCTCTCGTGCAGGTCTCCTATTTTTACGGGCGACGCACGTTTGATACAAGCTGCCGTTGCAAGTTGAAAACACCGTCCTACTATGTATAAATAGATCTCGCGGTATTGAGATACTTTTCGACGAGCAAAACGAAGTTAGAAAAAGAGAGATAAAGAGAGAGAGAGAGGGAAGGGAGGGGAAGAACGAAAGTTAAAAAGTAAAATGTTCCTTTCGATGACGATGCATCGTGTATCTGTTCTGTGTGTATTCTTCTCGAAAAAAGTCCGTTACGATGGACGAGTATATGGGCATGTGTTCGAGCGCATTCGACGTTTCTCGAACAAGAAAGAATGAAAGAGAGAGAGAGAGAGAGAGAGAGTAAAGACAAACTCATATGCCGCGGGAGAAGCGCCGTATTCAAAGTTCCCGTATGCAAAACGAATCCTTGAACGTGAGCAGAAGTCTTCGGAGCGGAACTTATGCCGGGAGCCTTGAGAATTGACATTTACGCGTCGAAGTCATCGGCACAAAGAACTTCTCTCCTCGTTTCCCTCATCGTCTGCCTTGTTGTCCGATCGTACTACGCGCGACCGCACGCGCGCGCGCGCGCACAACAAGCAAGCAAGCACTCAGCCAACAACAACCACCGCAAATCGGATCTATCGTTTGCGAGTATTCCACGAATGTATACCGAGTCAATATCTTTCCATCTCTCTCTCTCTCTGTTTCTTGTTTTATCTTTTATTCTTATTGCAATTCCTAATTCTTCAACAACAATCCCACGCTGGTGGTAACTTGTTAGGAAATATCACTGTGAAGAGATCCTTTTAAAAGGCGTCTCGCAAGGACATTTGTTTCCAAGGACGCGTAAAATTTTACTTGTTGCATCATTCGACAATATTCTTAGGTATTGAAAATGCGATGAAGTTTTAATTAAAACGATTAGTTAAATGAATTATTTGAAGTACTTATAGAGAAATGTAAAAATATTCTAAACATATGTAATACGTATGTATGTATGTATGTATGTTGAAGGATTATCAAACGTTAGGTTAGGTAACATTGTATAAGGAGCTCGCATCGATCGTAAGTAAGCCGCGAAAATGCAAACATGCTTTACGCAGAGATCGTAAATGGTCTGATGCGAAGGGAGACTCGCTTCATGCACAGAGATCTCTTATGTTAAGAGAATAAGGAGGGAAGAACCAGACTCGCTAGTCGGTCCGCTACTGCTTTTGCTTTTACTGTTGATCGTCGATGTTCTCTCCTTGTATTATGCTAGCCTTACGGCTTTTTTTTATCGTTTACAATGACGCATAGAAACGCCCAGGTGCTTCTACTACGTGCAGCCTCTCTTTCTCTCTTTCCTTCTTTCTTTTACTATTTCTCTCTCTCTCTCTCTCTCTCTCTTTTTATTTTTCTTTCTTTCTTTTTTTCTTTTTTCTTCTTCTTCTTCTTCCCTTGCACACATATACGCTCGTCTTGTCTCTAAAATCATACGACGTAAAATTGTCGAAGAGCAACTAACCGTCCCCTTTTAGTATTTATTATGAAGGATAATAGGATGTATAGCTAACGCCGATGACCTAAGTGTCATTCCAATGAACAAAACTTTTGTAAGCATGGTACGCGTACCGGAAAGAAGAGAAGGTTCGATTAATCAGCATAACGATATTGCGAAAATGATGATGATAACCGTTTTGGCGAAACATTTCACACCGATCAGCGCAATTTCTTTTCCGCCTTTTTTTTTTTTTTTTTTTTCCCCTATTTAATTTCTTTCTTTATTCTTTTCGCGGACTCCTTTTGCACGCGGTCACATGGTGCAACAATGTATTAAAGTCCTTCTTCCTTATTCTTGCGCAAGTCGACCTTAATAGCTTCTTCGTCGAGTAGGTTCCGGCGCGCATTAGCATACGTGTTTTCTGGGCTTTTAACTTTGCTTTATATAAAATGCGAATATAACGGTATATAACGACGTGCTGCGAAAATACGAATAAAAATGAAAAATAAATGGAAAGGAACAAAAATATATGATAAAAGAGAAAATATTATAATATATATTCGCGATAAGAAAGCAACGGGTCGATGATAACAAATTTGTAATAGATAAATGCTTTCTCTTCTTCTTACGTGAAATTAAAAAAAACAGTCCACAACAGTACGGATCTTTCGTAGCCAGCAGCCGCATTGAGTCAAGGGATATAATACATCTGATAACGGTTTGTTCTCCTTGAAGGATGGAGGGCAGTGATTCTCGCACCCGTTATTTTTACCTTTCTCTTCTTATTCGATCCGAGTTCCAGCGGTTCTTCCGCGATGGACCACGATGTGAATCAAGGGAAGCAGCTTCTGACCTTCCTTCCTTCTTTTTATTTCATATACCTTTTCGTTTCTTTATTTTCTTGAACGATGCTGTTATAAGCGAATACATAATATCCGTCATTCCATTATTACAATATCTCCCCATCTCTTCTTCTCATTTTTCTTTTATATATACATAAATATAATTCGACGAGAGAATTCAATTAGTAGTATCCCGGAATCTTATCGATTTGAATATACCTTCGCGAAATATACGCGTATATATTAAGAAATAAAAATTATTCAAATATATGTGTGTTAATCATTATAATTTTATTTTTAAGTCATCCGTATAGAGAGATTTTATAACGATTATGTAAGCGATTAAATAACTCTTTAACAAAAGACTAAATCGAACGACATTTAAATGAGACGATCGAAATAATCAGTTTCTGTAAGCACATTTTTTTTTTTTTTTTTTTAAATAATCTAATCTATTTCTCTTAGAATATATACACATCCACATACACATACATATACACACACGCGCACATATATATATATATAATATACGTAATGACATCGTCGTGCTCGACGCAGCAAGATTCTTCTAAAGATCTCTCTACGCGTATGAGATAGATAGAAAGAAAAAGATTGAAATAGTGTAAGATGTTTGAATGTGTAGACCGCGTATACGTACATATATGTATGCACATAATCCGAATTGGCCGATTAGATTAGACGCCTAGTAACTAGATTACGCGTCGGCTCTGTTATCTCTGAAATTAGACGCCGGCCGGTGAATACGTTATTTAGACGACTCGCTCGCGTTAGAATAACTACATCCGAGGATTTAGTGTTGGATGTCACTTTGCTACCACACACGTACAATATAAAAGCAAAATATTGAATGATATGATAATTCGAAAAACATTCTCTCCCGATGATTCCTATCTTTTTCATTTCTTTTTTCTTTCTTTTTTTTCGTATCGTATAAATGAAATTAGTTTTTGGTTCATTTAATTACGTATCTGTTTGAAAAGGAAGAAAAGAGAGGGATAAAAATAAAGAAAAAGTTAGTTGGCAATACTGGGAACACATCGATGAAAGGAGAAAGAGAACCGTTGAAATATTTCGAAATAACTAACTAAGCATAAAATAAACGTCCGATTCGTGTGAGGCGTATATCTTATCATAATTAGTCATTGATGCTAAGCAAATATTCGTTCTCCGTTAACGTCTCATTGAAATGTGATATTACTTAGAATCGAACTTGACTAACAATCTGTTTTATTTCTAACGCGAGAGTCTTTTCTCTATATGTATGATATCATAAGAAATATAACAGTAGGATAGGAGAGAGGAGGAGGGAGTAGGAAAGATAGAAAAAGAAGAAATGGCAAAAGAGAAGTATTGTCTCACATTTCTTTTTCCAACCTTTTTCTCGCGTAAAACTATTAATTTGTAACCGCCACGAGAATAATCGATTGACGTTATCACCTTTAGCTTCTACGAAGTTTATTCCTTATTCGAGTATACCAAGGAAGAAACGATCGTGGCTAATAAATTATACGAACGACCTTGAAAGTTCAATATTTTCAATTTCGGTAAAGGTTGCCTGCCTAGTCGAATTTTATTTGCTTAAATAGAAAACGTGTTTTTCGATATTTCGTTTTATTGATTAACTTTCGTCATAGGAATCATTCATTTTGCAAACGAACAAAAAAAAAAAGAGAAAAAAAGGGATCGATTAAACTAATCGCAAGGAGAACAATAATCTGGTAATTGTCTTCGTGAGTTATCGCGACGA